ACAATTTGTTTAGACATTTTTATTTAGTTGTTTTAAAATTTGTTTATTTATAGATAACCCGCATTTAAGGAACCGTCATATATTTATGTGAACAGTATTAAATAAAATTTACCAACCTGAATGTCAATGCTATTTAATAAAAATATTCGTAAATAGACAGAGTTAAAACCTGCATCCTATACGGAACAACGTTAAACATAAATAACGCAACTTTAATAAATATTTTCTATAAATTTCTCATGACGTCATTTACATTCGATACGCTGAGCAGTTATGAATGTACGATTCATGGAAGATTGTGATTTATAACAGTAAATTCGACCTTGTCTACCATAAGGTTCATGGTGGCCAGTGGTTAAAGGCACGTCAGCGTATATGACGGTTCCGTATAGGATGCAGGTTCGAATCCTGTCTATGAAAGAATATTTTCTATGAAAATTTCTCGGACATTCAGGCCGGTAAATGTTATTTAATACTGTTTATCATAAACAGAGCATTTGCTTAAATACTTGTATCTATAAAATAACAACGTTAAACATAAATAAAAATGTCTTTAATAAATATATATATATATATATATTGGACACGTTACATTCTGACAATGAGACTCGGGTTCGAATCTCACCATCATCGATTTGTCAGGAAGAAGACTCCCTGATGATATCGGACTGACGGGGTCGATCCCAGTGTGCGCCACCCTTGGAAAGATTCTGAAAAACCATACCACAGGTTGACCCAAGCCTTGTACACGGAACGTTTGAGTGTCTTCAATAGCTGTGCGTGAAGTCACCAGTCATCGTGGCCGAGGGCTTGAGTGCGCTGGCCTTGTTCAAATTGCTGATCACGCTAGATAATACGGTATTTACCAGAAACTCTAACTAAGGACTGCTCAGCATAGTTATAAACCACAGGTGGGCTCTGTGGATGTTGAATGCAAATGCGCCTGAACAAGCGGCTGCAATAGGGAGTGGCTAGCCGGTCTGGTAGACAGGTATCCTCGAATACGTGTGGGCAGCTATCCTATCCTCATATATATATATATATATATATATATATATATATATATATATATTCGGCAAAAATATTCTTTTTGATATAAGATTGTCTTTCTTTTCATTTTTTTATTTACTTTTTAAAGTAATCGTATTTATCGCAATTCTGATGCAATAAAGTATTTTAAATTTGGAATGCACTATAGTTTTTATGTCTAAAAGTATATTATTGCAAAACCCCAAAAGAATATATGATAAATACGTTGTATATTTACAATTTGAAGGTTGTGTGTAGGCCTTAGAAGCGGCCAGTTACTCGGAAATTAAATTTACGCAAACCTCGCATGGTTGATAAATGTAACCACTTCAGCTATTTAAAATTAAGTGGTGAACGCGGTTTAAGATTTCAAAGAGTTATCTCCTTTTAAATAAAGATTCTTTTGCGATGTCACCTCATATTTTAACAATTTCTTTTCTGTTTTAAGCTGAAACGCAGCTTCTGTTTTTTGGAGTTTTTTCTTTTTTGTTTTTTAGGGTTTTTTTCTTCTTTTTCTTTTGGCGATTTCAATATTAGTGGGTGATACGTAGATTATATCCACACAAAAATCACAAAAAAAATGGCGCTTCGTATGAAAAGGTTAATGACGACATCTTTAACTAAGACGCAAGTCTATGAGTTGATACGCATTTTAAGCATGATGGAATTTCTCATGAAGACCAACAACAATCTAAGTGAGCGTCAACAAGTTGAAATAACAACAATCTTGAAAATGTCCGCCACTCGATCGTTGAAGATCGTTGATGAAAAATTGATAGAATATCGAAGGTGAATGTTTTGTCTTCTTTTTTATGTCTGTAAATGTTGATAGAATAATTGACAATGAAGAACACACTTCTTCAATACTCGTCTCATTTTTGCTTTCACAGACGATAAAAAAAGATTGTTGTCTTTGTATCACAATTTGGAGGACCAAATTTAAAATGGCCGACAGGTTTTTTCAAATTTCAACTTCATATAATATTTCGATTTATGTCTGGTTAGAGCCGCGTTATATTTATGCAACTTACCTCTCCAAAAAACAATTAGTTGACAAACGTATTATTTTGCACGGAATTCAAAATTTATCCAACGTTTATATCCAACATTATTGATAAAACAAAAATTAGATTCATCAGCTATCTATATATATATACCTATCTAGATAGTGATCTACAAACTTGGTCGATTTGAAATCAGTCAGAGACTCTTACCCCCAGGTTATCTGCGCACAGCAGAGAAAAGGAATGGGATAACGCATTATATCCGTGATATATAACGTCATAGTTACGAAGTGCGATGTGTTAAAGCAACAGCGGCCGTTAAAAATACCCTTTTCTCTATAGTGCTCAATCGGCGAATGAGAGCATCTATCTATCTATCTATCTATCTACCTATCTATCTATCTATTTATATATATATATATATATATATATATATATATATATAGATAGATAGATAGATAGATAGATAATAGATAGATAAATGATATTGATAATACTAGTGGTTAATATACACACAGATATATATATATATATATATATATATATATATATATATATATATATATATATATTGCTTTTGTGTAGAGTATTTTCCACAGTGAAGGTTTGTATTTCACTAAAGTCGGTCCTAAAAGGGTCCGACGTACAAAAGTTAGGACTGATAATATTTTATGACGCAGCAATCTAGTTGTGGTGGTTCATACTTTAATGTCCGACATCGAGTGACACACCAACTCCACTGAGCCCCCTGGCGACTGCTACTACTTATTATATCTGGGAGAGTCTATTTACAATAGAATAGGTATACATACACATACATATATATATAAAAATTTCCAAGAGAATAGAATCCAAGTAGAACAGACTAAGACTATAATAAAACGACAGAGTAAAACTATAATAGAAAGGCTGAAACACTAATATTCCATAGTTATAATTTATTACATTGGAATCGTAATTACGATCCAATTCATCAGACCTACAAATTCAAAAAGAAATCATCTGTTACTCCTTTCTAATGCTTTCATTTTCCTCTCACATTCGTCCCCACTCTCATACATACACTCTCACTTTTTGAATTTGTAAGTCTGATGAATTGATCGTAATTACGATTCCAATGTAATAAATTATAACCATGGAATATTAGTGTTTAAACGTTTTTATTACATATATATATATAGATAGATAGATAGATAGATAGATAGATAGATAGATAGATAGATAGATAGCTTATATAAAGATAAGTTGAAACAGATGAATGTTATAATGGGAAAAATGTCTAATATTACTTTACTACTATTTGAACTATAGTTATAGTTTAAGAGTGAAATTTATTTTAATTTACCAAGACTCATAGTGCAAAATGAGTAAAATGTTTAAAGAAAGAGAGAGAAAGAATAATGGAATGCGTCAAGAGAAAAAGTAAGAATAATAGAGAAAAACGTGTCAAAGAAGCAAAAAGAAATAGGAAGAAAAACAATGAGATTGTCAAGAAAAAAAACAAAACTAAAACGGAAAGAGAGAGAGAATGATATAAAGTAATGTGTCAGGCAAACACATAAGAGTAAAAAGAAAGAAAGAAAAGGAAACAGAAGAGAAAGAAGGAAAAATGAAAAAGAGAAGAGAGAAAGAAAACGAAACAAAAAGAAAGTAAGAAAGAAAAAGAAAAAAATAGGAAAATTAAAAGAAAGAAAGTAAGAAAAAAGAAAAGGAAATAGTAAGAAAGAACGAAAAATGAAAAAGAAAAGAGAGAAAGAAACAAAGAAACAAAGAAAACAAAATAAAAAATGAAAGAAAGAAAAAAAGAAATCGAATGTTGTAATGAATATGATCAAGAAAGCAGAGAGAAAAGTTTGGAAAGCGAAAGAGTAAGAAAGAAGGCAGCAGTGGATTAACAAAACAAGGAAAATATGAAAACGAGGAATCATAGGAAAGAAATAGAAAAAACAATAAAGCATTGGAAGACATAAGAGCAGAAGGAATGGATAAACGAAAAGTAGAAAAGACATAAGAAGGGAATCTAGAAGAGAAAAACGGAAAGCAAGAAACAGAAAAGAAAGAAAACAAGAAACGAAATAACAAGGAAAAAAGCAATAAAAAAATAAGCGGATGGAGAAGGAAGAAAAGAAAAAATTGAATGAAAAGAGACAGGACATAAGAAGGAAGAAAAGGAAGAAAGCTGAAAAGAAAAATAATTATGAAAGAAAGATGAAAGATTGGGAAAGAAAAGCAAAATGAAATAACTAAAGGAAAGAAGAAAAAAGGAAAAGAAACAAAAAAGAAATGAAAAAGGTAGAATGGAAGAAAGGAAATTGGTAAAAAGAACGAAAAAAAAGAGATTGGAATGAACACAAAACTTCTTCGGATCTATATTCCACGAAAGGTTTATTTTTCTTCGCGACCGTTTCTTTAAAATTTCCATAATTCTCTCACATTTGCCATCTTCTTCCCACAACTATTTGTAAAACTTCATATTTGCCAAATATTTGTCAGCCGTCGAAATCAAAATGATAAATTGAGGCAAGATTTTCTTATCTCGCTTTCTATCAGCCATTTTCCTGTGTGAACCGCGCATTTCATACTCGCCAATAATTGGTCCTTAGACACACCAAACATTGAACGCCGAATAAATTCCCTAGGAATTCAAAAGTGAATTATTACTTCTTGGTTGCATCAAATATATAATGATTAATAACGCCATATTTTGATTTGCAAGAGTAAAAAAAGGCGCTTATCTTTGAATGCTAACAAATTTAGATTTTACTTTCTCTATAAAAAAAATGTTCCATTCTACGCCAAACCTTTTCACTAGTTTTGCTTTCGGTTCAATGAAATATTGGTACAAAGAAACAGTCTATTAGTATTTTGGCTGGGTACTTTCTTTTTTATCTTGAGATGGTGTGAAAATGTAATGGGGGAGAAGATTGAAGTCTTGTCTGAAATCTATAGTGATGAAGATCTGAAGATCTAGATATAGAGAAGGCTAAAAGAAAGGTTTAGAATGGTGAAAACAAGGTGAAATGTAAAGGTTAATAGATTGAAAAATGAAGAAAGAGAAAATGGGAAAGAACTGTAGAGGGATGAAGAGGAAGTAAGAAACGAAAGAAGGGTGAAAGTAACGATAAAAATACAAGAGTAAAAGGGCAACAGATAGCAAAATAAAAGAAAGAAAGAAAGAAAGAAAGAAAGAAAGAAAGAAAGAAAGAAAGAAGTAAGAAAAAGTGGAGCAGGAAAAACATGGCAAGAAGCGTTTACATTTTCAGGGACAAAAGGAATAGAAAGAAAGAAATCTTAAAAAAAGAAAAAAAAAGAAAGAAAAGAAAAAAAAAGAAAGAAAGGGACAAAAGGAAAGAAAGAAAGAAATCTAAAAAAGAAAGAAAGAAAGAAAAAAGAAAAGGAAAGTGAGAAAAGAGGAGCGTGAAAAAACATGGCAAGAAGCGTTTAGATTTTCAGGGACAAAAGGAATAGAAAGAAAGAAATCTTAAAAGAAAGAAAGAAAGAAAGAAAGAAAGAAAGAAAGAAAGAAAGGGAAAGTGAGAAAAAGAGGAGCGTGAAAAACATGGCAAGAAGCGTTTACATTTTCAGGGACAAAAGGAATAGAAAGAAAGAAATCTTAAAAGAAAGAAAGAAAGAAAGAAAGAAAGAAAGAAAGAAAGAAAGAAAGGGAAAGTGAGAAAAAGAGGAGCGTGAAAAACATGGCAAGAAGCGTTTAGATTTTCAGGGACAAAAGGAATAGAAAGAAAGAAATCTTAAAAGAAAGAAAGAAAGAAAGAAAGAAAGAAAGAAAGAAAGAAAGAAAGGGAAAGTGAGAAAAGAGGAAAAAAAAAAAACATGGCAAGAAGCGTTTAGATTTTCAGGGACAAAAGGAATAGAAAGAAAGAAATCTTAAAAGAAAGAAAGAAAGAAAGAAAGAAAGAAAGAAAGAAAGAAAGAAAGGGAAAGTGAGAAAAAGAGGAGCGTGAAAAACATGGCAAGAAGCGTTTAGATTTTCAGGGACAAAAGGAATAGAAGTTTTCAAAGAAAGAAAGAAAGAAAGAAAGAAAGGGAAAAGTAAGAAGAAGAGGAGCATGAAAAACAAGGCAAGAAGCGTTTAGATTTTCAGGGACAAAAGGAATACAAGTCATGAAAGAAAGAAAGAAAGAAAGAAAGAAAGAAAGAAAGAAAGAAAGAAAGAAAGGGAAAAGTAAGAAGAAGAGGAGCATGAAAAACAAGGCAAGAAGCGTTTAGATTTTCAGGGACAAAAGGAATACAAGTCATGAAAGAAAGAAAGAAAGAAAGAAAGAAAGAAAGAAAAGAAAGAAAGAAAGGGAAAAGAAAGAAGAAGAGGAGCATGAAAAACAAGGCAAGAAGGGTTTAGATTTTCAGGGACAAAAGGAATACAAGTCATGAAAGAAAGAAAGAAAAAAAAGAAAGAAAGAAAAAGAAAAGAAAGAAAGAAAGAAAAAGAAAGAAAGAAAGAGGAGCATGAAAAAAAAAACAAGGCAAGAAGGGTTTAGATTTTCAGGGACAAGAGGAATACAAGTCATGAAAGAAAGAAAGAAAGAAAGAAAGAAAGAAAGAAAGAAAGAAAGAAAGAAAGGGAAAAGAAAGAAGAAGAGGAGCATGAAAAACAAGGCAAGAAGCGTTTAGATTTTCAGGGACAAAAGGAATGAAAATCTTAAAAGAAAGAAAGAAAGAAAGAAAGAAAGAAAGAAAGAAAGAAAGTAAGAAAGATAGAAAGAAACTGAAAAGTAAGAAGAAAATGAGCATGAAAAACATGGCAAGAAGCGTTTAGATTTTCAGGGACAAAAGGAATGGAAATCTTAAAAGAAAGAAAGAAATAAAGAAAGAAATAAAAAAGAAAGAAAGAAAGAAAGAAAGAAAGAAAGAAAGAAACTGAAAAGTAAGAAGAAAATGAGAATGAAAAACATGGCAAGAAGCGTCTAGATTTTCAGGGAAAAAAAATAGAAATCTTAAAAGAAAGAAAGAAAGAAAGAAAGAATCGGAAAAGTTAGAAGAAAATGAGCATGAAAAACATGGCAAGAAGCGTTTAGATTTTCAGGGACAAAAAGAATAGAAATCTTAAAAGAAAGAAAGAAAGAAAGAAAGAAAGAAAGAAAGAAAGGGAAAGTGAGAAAAAGAGGAGCGTGAAAAACATCGCAAGAAGCGTTTAGATTTTCAGGGACAAAAGGAAAAGAAGTCTTGAAAGAAAGAAAGAAAGAAAGAAAGAAAAAAAAAGAAAGAAAAGAAAAGAAAGGAAAAGTAAGAAGAAGAGGAGAAGGAAAAACAATGCAAGAAGCGTTTAGATTTTTTCAGGGACAAAAGGAATGGAAATCTTAAAAAAGAAAGAAAAGAAAGAAAGAAAGAAAGAAAGAAAAAGAAAGAAAGAAAAAGAAAGAAACTGAAAAGTAAGACGAAATGAGCATGAAAAAAACATGGCAAGAAGCGTTTAGATTTTCAGGGACAAAAGGAATAGAAGTCTTGAAAAGAAAGAAAGAAAGAAAGAAAGAAAGAAAAGAAAGAAAAGAAAGAAAGGGAAAAGTAAAAGAAGAGGAGCATGAAAAACAAAGGCAAGAAGCGTTTAGATTTTTTAGGGACAAAAAGGAAAAAATCTTAAAAAAAGAAAGAAAGAAAGAAAGAAAGAAAGAAAGAAAGAAAGAAAGAAAGAAAGAAAGAAACTGAAAAGTAAGAAGAAAATGAGCATGAAAAACATGGCAAGAAGCGTTTAGATTTTCAGGAGAAAAGGAATAGAAGTCTTGAAAGAAAGAAAGAAAAAAAAAAAAGAAAGAAAGAAAGAAAGAAAGAAAGAAAGAAAGGGAAAAGTAAGAAGAAGAGGAGCATGAAAACAAGGCAAGAAGCGTTTAGATTTTTCAGGGACAAAAGGAATGGAAATCTTAAAAGAAAGAAAGAAAGAAAGAAAGAAAGAAAGAAAGAAAGAAAGAAAGAAAGAAAGAAACTGAAAAGTAAGACGAAAATGAGCATGAAAAACATGGCAAGAAGCGTTTAGATTTTCATGGACAAAGGTATAGAAGTCTTGAAAGAAAGAAAGAAAGAAAGAAAGAAAGAAAGAAAGAAAGAAAGAAAGGGAAAAGTAAGAAGAAGAGGAGCATGAAAAACAAGGCAAGAAGCGTTTAGATTTTCAGTGACAAAAGGAAAAAAACTTAAAAGAAAAAAGAAAGAAAGAAAGAAAAAGAAAGAAAGAAAGAAAAGAAACTGAAAAGTAAGAAGAAAATAAGCATGAAAAAAAACATGGCAAGAAGCGTTTAGATTTTCAGGACAAAAAAAGAATAGAAATATTAAAAGAAAAAAAAAAAAGAAAGAAAGAAAGAATGAATCGGAAAATTTAGAAGAAAATGAGCATGAAAAACATGGAAAGAAGCGGTTAGATTTCCAGGGACAAAAAGAATAGAAATCTTAAAAGAAAGAAAGAAAGAAAGAAAGAAAGAAAGAAAGAAAGAAAGAAAGAAAGAAACTGAAAAGTAAGAAGAAAATGAGCATGAAAAACATGGCAAGAAGCGTTTAGATTTTCAGGGACAAAAGGAATAGAAGTCTTGAAAGAAAGAAAGAAATAAAGAAAGAAAGAAAGAAAGAAAGAAAGAAAGAAAGAAAGAAAGAAAGGGAAATGTAAGAAGAAGAGGAGCATGAAAAACAAGGCAAGAAACTGTTTAGATTTTCAGGGACAAAAAAAATGGAAATCTTAAAAGAAAGAAAGAAGAAAAGAAAGAAAAGAAAGAAAGAAAGAAAGAAAGAAACGAAACTGAAAAGTAAGACGAAAATGAACATGAAAAAACATGGCAAGAAGCGTTTAGATTTTCATGGACAAAGGAATAGAAGTCTTGAAAGAAAGAAAGAAAGAAAGAAAGAAAGAAAGAAAGAAAGAAATGAAAGAAAGAAAGGGAAAAGTAAGAAGAAGAGGAGCATGAAAAACAAGGCAAGAAGCGTTTAGATTTTCAGTGACAAAAGGAATGAAAAACTTAAAAGAAAGAAAGAAAGAAAGAAAGAAAGAAAGAAAGAAAGAAACTGAAAAGTAAGAAGAAAATAAGCATGAAAAACATGGCAAGAAGCGTTTAGATTTTCAGGAACAAAAAGAATAGAAATATTAAAAGAAAGAAAGAAAGAAAGAAAGAAAGAAAGAAAGAATGAATCGGAAAATTTAGAAGAAAATGAGCATGAAAAACATGGCAAGAAGCGGTTAGATTTCCAGGGACAAAAAGAATAGAAATCTTAAAAGAAAGAAAGAAAGAAAGAAAGAAGGAAAGAAAGAAAGAAAGAAAGAAACTGAAAAGTAAGAAGAAAATGAGCATGAAAAACATGGCAAGAAGCGTTTAGATTTTCAGGGACAAAAGGAATAGAAGTCTTGAAAGAAAGAAAGAAAGAAAGAAAGAAAGAAAGAAAGAAAGAAAGAAAGAAAGGGAAAAGTAAGAAGAAGAGGAGCATGAAAAACAAGGCAAGAAGCGTTTAGATTTTTAGGGACAAAAGGAATGGAAATCTTAAAAGAAAGAAAGAAAGAAAAGAAAGAAAGAAAGAAAGAAAGAAAGAAAGAAACTGAAAAGTAAGAAGAAAATGAGCATGAAAAACATGGCAAGAAGCGTTTAGATTTTCAGGGAGAAAAGGAATAGAAGTCTTGAAAGAAAGAAAGAAAGAAAGAAAGAAAGAAAGAAAGAAAGAAAGAAAGAAAGGGAAAAGTAAGAAGAAGAGGAGCATGAAAAACAAGGCAAGAAGCGTTTAGATTTTCAGGGACAAAAGGAATGGAAATCTTAAAAGAAAGAAAGAAAGAAAGAAAGAAAGAAAGAAAGAAAGAAAGAAACTGAAAAGTAAGACGAAAATGAGCATGAAAAACATGGCAAGAAGCGTTTAGATTTTCATGGACAAAGGAATAGAAGTCTTGAAAGAAAGAAAGAAAGAAAGAAAGAAAGAAAGAAAGAAAGAAAGAAAGAAAGGGAAAAGTAAGAAGAAGAGGAGCATGAAAAACAAGGCAAGAAGCGTTTAGATTTTCAGTGACAAAAGGAATGAAAAAACAAAAAAGAAAGAAAAAAGAAAGAAAGAAAGAAAGAAACTGAAAAGTAAGAAGAAAATAAGCATGAAAAACATGGCAAGAAGCGTTTAGATTTTCAGGAACAAAAAGAATAGAAATATTAAAAGAAAAAAGAAAGAAAGAAAGAAAGAATGAATCGGAAAATTTAGAAGAAAATGAGCATGAAAAACATGGAAAGAAGCGGTTAGATTTCCAGGGACAAAAAGAATAGAAATCTTAAAAGAAAGAAAGAAAGAAAGAAAGAAAGAAAGAAAGAAACTGAAAAGTAAGAAGAAAATGAGCATGAAAAACATGGCAAGAAGCGTTTAGATTTTCAGGGACAAAAGGAATAGAAGTCTTGAAAGAAAGAAAGAAATAAAGAAAGAAAGAAAGAAAGAAAAGAAAGAAAAAAGAAAGAAAGAAAGGGAAAAGTAAGAAGAAGAGGAGCATGAAAAAACAAGGCAAGAAGCGTTTAGATTTTTAGGACAAAAGGAATGGAAATCTTAAAAGAAAGAAAAGAAAGAAAAGAAAAGAAAGAAAAGAAAGAAACTGAAAAGTAAGAAGAAAATGAGTATGAAAAAAACATGGCAAGAAGCGTTTAGATTTTAAGGACAAAAGGAATAGAAGTTTGAAAGAAAGAAAGAAAGAAAGAAAGAAAGAAAGAAAGAAAGAAAGAAAGGGAAAAGTAAGAAGAGGAGCATGAAAACAAGGCAAGAAACTGCTTTTAGATTTTTCAGGGACAAAAGGAATGGAAATCTTTAAAAGAAAGAAAGAAAGAAAGAAAGAAAGAAAGAAAAAAAAAAGAACGAAACTGAAAAGTAAGACGAAAATGAACATGAAAAAAAAACATGGCAAGAAGCGTTTAGATTTTCATGGACAAAGGAATAGAAGTCTTGAAAGAAAGAAAAGAAAGAAAGAAAAGAAAAAAGAAAGAAAGAAAAGAAAGAAAGAAAGGAAAAGTAAGAAGAAGAGGAGCATGAAAAACAAGGCAAGAAGCGTTTAGATTTTCAGTGACAAAAGGAATGAAAAAACTTAAAAAGAAAGAAAGAAAGAAAGAAAGAAAGAAAAAAAAGAAAGAAACTGAAAAGTAAGAAGAAAAATAAGCATGAAAAACATGGCAAGAAGCGTTTAGATTTTCAGGAACAAAAAGAATACAAATATTAAAAGAAAGAAAGAAAGAAAGAAAGAAAGAAAGAAAGAAAGAAAGAATGAATCGTAAAATTTAGAAGAAAATGAGCATGAAAAACATGGCAAGAAGCGGTTAGATTTCCAGGGACAAAAAGAATAGAAATCTTAAAAGAAAGAAAGAAAGAAAGAAAGAAGGAAAGAAAGAAAGAAAGAAAGAAACTGAAAAGTAAGAAGAAAATGAGCATGAAAAACATGGCAAGAAGCGTTTAGATTTTCAGGGACAAAAGGAATAGAAGTCTTGAAAGAAAGAAAGAAAGAAAGAAAGAAAAAAGAAAGAAACTGAAAAGTAAGAAGAAAATAAGCATGAAAAACATGGCAAGAAGCGTTTAGATTTTCAGGAACAAAAAGAATAGAAATATTAAAAGAAAAAAGAAAGAAAGAAAGAAAGAATGAATCGAAAAATTTAGAAGAAAATGAGCATGTAAAACATGGAAAGAAGGTTAGATTTCAGGGACAAAAAAGAATAGAAATCTTAAAAGAAAAAAGAAAGAAAAAGAAAGAAAGAAAGAAAGAAAGAAACTGAAAAGTAAGAAGAAAAATGAGCATGAAAAAACATGGCAAGAAGCGTTTAGATTTTCAGGGACAAAAGGAATAGAAGTCTTGAAAGAAAGAAAGAAATAAAGAAAGAAAGAAAAGAAAGAAAAAGAAAGAAAAGAAAGGGAAAAGTAAGAAGAAGAGGAGCATGAAAACAAGGCAAGAAGCGTTTAGATTTTTAGGGACAAAAGGAATGGAAATCTAAAAAAAAAAAAAAGAAAGAAAGAAAGAAAGAAAGAAAGAAAGAAAGAAAGAAAGAAAGAAACTGAAAAGTAAGAAGAAAATGAGCATGAAAAACATGGCAAGAAGCGTTTAGATTTTAAGGGACAAAAGGAATAGAAGTCTTGAAAGAAAGAACGAAAGAAAGAAAGAAAGAAAGAAAGAAAGAAAGAAAGAAAGAAAGAAAGGGAAAAGTAAGAAGAAGAGGAGCATGAAAAACAAGGCAAGAACCGTTTAGATTTTCAGGGACAAAAGGAATGGAAATCTTAAAAGAAAGAAAGAAAGCAAGAAAGAAAGAAAGAAAGAAAGAAAGAAAGAAAGAAAGAACGAAACTGAAAAGTAAGACGAAAATGAACATGAAAAACATGGCAAGAAGCGTTTAGATTTTCATGGACAAAGGAATAGAAGTCTTGAAAGAAAGAAAGAAAGAAAGAAAGAAAGAAAGAAAGAAAGAAAGGGAAAAGTAAAAAGAAGAGGAGCATGAAAAACAAGGCAAGAAGCGTTTAGATTTTCAGTGACAAAAGGAATGAAAAACTTAAAAGAAAGAAAGAAAGAAAGAAAGAAAGAAAGAAAGAAACTGAAAAGTAAGAAGAAAATAAGCATGAAAAACATGGCAAGAAGCGTTTAGATTTTCAGGAACAAAAAGAATAGAAATATTAAAAGAAAGAAAGAAAGAAAGAAAGAAAGAAAGAAAGAAAGAATGAATCAGAAAATTTAGAAGAAAATGAGCATGAAAACATGGCAAAGAAGCGGTTAGATTTCCAGGACAAAAAAGAATAGAAATCTTAAAAGAAAGAAAGAAAGAAAGAAAGAAAGAAGGAAAGAAAGAAAGAAAAAAAGAAACTGAAAAGTAAGAAGAAAATGAGCATGAAAAACATGGCAAGAAGCGTTTAGATTTTCAGGGACAAAAGGACTAGAAGTCTTGAAAGAAAGAAAGAAAGAAAGAAAGAAAGAAAGAAAGAAAGAAAGAAAGGGAAAAGTAAGAAGAAGAGGAGCATGAAAAACAAGGCAAGAAGCGTTTAGATTTTCAGGGACAAAAGGAATGGAAATCTTAAAAGAAAGAAAGAAAGAAAGAAAGAAAAAAGAAAGAAACTGAAAAGTAAGACGAAAATGAGCATGAAAAACATGGCAAGAAGCGTTTAGATTTTCAGGGACAAAAGGAATAGAAGTCTTGAAAGAAAGAAAAAGAAAGAAAGAAAGAAAAGAAAGAAAGAAAGAAAGAAAGAAAGAAAGAAAGAAAGGGAAAAGTAAGAAGAAGAGGAGCATGAAAAACAAGGCAAGAAGGTTTAGATTTTCAGGACAAAAGGAATGAAAAATTTAAAAAGAAAGAAAAAGAAAGAAAGAAAGAAAGAAAGAAAGAAAGAAAGAAACTGAAAAGTAAAAAGAAAATGAGCATGAAAAACATGGCAAGAAGCGTTTAGATTTTCAGGGACAAAAGGAATAGAAGTCTTGAAAGAAAGAAAAGAAAGAAAAAAGAAAGGAAAAGAAAGAAAGAAAGAAAGGGAAAAGAAAAAAAAATGGCAAGGAAGAAGCGTTTAGATTTTCAGGGACAAAAGGAATGGAAATCTTTAAAGAAAGAAAAAGAAAGAAAGAAAGAAAGAAAGAAAGAAAGAAAGAAAACTGAAAAGTAAGAAGAAAATGAGCATGAAAACATGGCAAGAAGCGTTTAGATTTTCAGGGACAAAGAGGAATGGAAATCTTAAAAAAAGAAAAAAGAAAGAAAGAAAGAAAGAAAGAAAGAAAAAAGAGTGAAAAAGAAAGAAAAGAAAGAAAAAAAGAAAGAAACTGAAAAGTAAGAAGAAAATGAGCATGAAAAACATGGCAAGAAGCGTTTAGATTTTCAAGGGACAAAAAGGAATGGAAATCTTAAAAAAAAAAGAAAGAAAGAAAGAAAGAAAGAAAGAAAGAAAGAAAGAAAGAAAGAATGACAGAAAGAAAGAAAGAAAGAAAGAAAGAAAGAAAGAAAGGGAAAAGTAAGAAGAAGAGGAGCATGAAAAACAAGGCAAGAAGCGTTTAGATTTTCAGGGACAAAAGGAATGGAAATTTTAAAAGAAAGAAAGAAAGAAAGAAAGAAAGAAAGAAAGAAAGAAAGAAAGAAAGAAAAGAAACTGGAAAGTAAGAAGAAAATGAGCATGAAAACATGGCAAGAAGGTTTAGATTTTCAGGACAAAAGGAATGGAAATCTTAAAAGAAAGAAAGAAAGAAAGAAAGAAAGAAATAAAGAAAGAAAGAAAGAAAGAATGAATGAAAGAAACTGAAAAGTAAAAAGAAAATGAGCATGAAAAACATGGCAAGAAGCGTTTAGATTTTCAAGGACAAAAAGAATAGAAATCTTAAAAGAAAGAAAGAAAGAAAGAAAGAAAGAAAGAAAGAAAGAAAGAAAGAAAGGGAAAGTGAGATAAAGAGGAGCGTGAAAAACATGGCAAGAAGCGTTTAGATTTTCAGGGACAAAAGGAATAGAAGTCTTGAAAGAAAGAAAGAAAGAAAAGAAAGAAAGAAAGAAAGAAAGAAAGAAAAGAAAGGGAAAAGTAAGAAGAAGAGGAGCATGAAAACAAGGCAAGAAGCGTTTAGGGATTTTCAGGGACAAAAGAATGGAAAGAAAAAAAAAAGAAAGAAAGAAAGAAAGAAAGAAAGAAAGAAAGAAAGAAACTGAAAAGTAAAACGAAAAATGAGCATGAAAAAAACATGGCAAGAAGCGTTTAGATTTTCAGGGACAAAAGTAATAGAAGTCTTGAAAGAAAGAAAGAAAGAAAGAAAGAAAGAAAGAAAGAAAGAAAGGGAAAAGTAAGAAGAAGAGGAGCATGAAAAACAAGGCAAGAAGCGTTTAGATTTTCAGTGACAAAAGGAATGAAAAACTTAAAGAAAGAAAGAAAGAAAGAAAGAAAGAAAAAAGAAACTGAAACAAGAAAGAAGAAAATAAGCATGAAAAACATGGCAAGAAGCGTTTAGATTTTTCAGGAACAAAAAGAATAGAAATATTAAAAGAAAAGAAAGAAAGAAAAGAAAGAAAGAATGAAAGAAAGAAAGAAAGAAAGAATGAATCGGAAAAGTTAGAAGAAAATGAGCATGAAAACATGGTAAGAAGGTTTAGAAAGGGAAAAAAAGAATAGAAATCTTAAAAGAAAAGAAAGAAAGAAAGAAAGAAAGAAACTGAAAAGTAAGAAAAAAAGCATGAAAAAAACATGGCAAGAAGCGTTTAGATTTTCAGGGACAAAAGGAATAGAAGTCTTGAAAGAAAGAAAGAAAGAAAGAAAGAAAGAAAGAAAGAAAGAAAGAAAGAAAGAAAGAAAGGAAAAGTAAGAAGAAGAGGAGCATGAAAAACAAGGCATGAAGCGTTTAGATTTTCAGGGACAAAAAGAATGGAAATCTTAAAAGAAAGAAAGAAAGAAAGAAAGAAAAAGAAAGAAAGAAAAGAAACTGAAAAAGTAAGACGAAAATGAGCATGAAAAAACATGGCAAGAAGCGTTTAGATTTTCAGGGACAAAAGTAAAGAAGTCTTGAAAAAAGAAAGAAAGAAAGAAAGAAAGAAAGAAAGAAAGAAAGAAAGAAAAGAAAGAAAGGAAAAGAAAGAAGAAGAGGAGCATGAAAAACAAGGCAAGAAGCGTTTAGATTTTCAGGGACAAAAAGGAATGGAAATTTTAAAAGAAAGAAAAGAAAAAGAAAAAAGAAAGAAAGAAAGAAAGAAAGAAAGAAAAACTGAAAAGTAAAAAGAAAATGAGCATGAAAAAACATGGCAGGAAGCGTTTAGATTTTCAGGGACAAAAGGAATGGAAATTTTAAAAAAAAGAAAAAAAAAAAGAAAGAAAGAAAAAGAAAGAAAGAAAGAAAGAAAGAAACTGAAAAGTAAGAAGAAAATGAGCATGAAAAACATGGCAAGAAGCGTTTAGATTTTCAGGGACAAAAGGAATGGAAATCTTAAAAGAAAGAAAGAAAGAAAGAAAGAAAGAAAGAAAGAAAGAATGAAAGAAAGAAAGAAAGAAAGGGAAAAGTAAGAAGAAGAGGAGCATGAAAAACAAGGCAAGAAGCGTTTAGATTTTCAGGGACAAAAGGAATGGAAATTTTAAAAGAAAGAAAGAAAGAAAGAAAGAAAGAAAGAAAGAAAGAAAGAAAGAAAGAAACTAAAAGTAAGAAGAAAAATGATCATGAAAAACATGGCAAGAAGCGTTTAGATTTTCAGGACAAAAGAATGGAAAAGAAAGAAAAGAAAAAAGAAAGAAAGAAAAAGAGAAAGAAAGAAAGAAAGAAAGAAAGAAAGAATGAATGTAAAAGCATTTAGATTTTCAGGGACAAAAGAAACTGAAAAAAAGAAAAAAGAAAAATGAGCATGAAAAACATGGCAAGAAGCGTTTAGATTTTCAGGGACAAAAGAATAGAAATCTTAAAAAGAAAGAAAGAAAGAAAGAAAGAAAGAAAGAAAGAAAGAAAGAAAAGAAAGAAAAGAAAGGGAAACTGAAAGATAAAAGAAAAGGAGCATGAAAAACATGGCAAGAAGCGTTTTAGATTTTCAGGGACAAAAATAATAGAAGTCTTGAAAGAAAGAAAGAAAGAAAGAAAGAAAGAAAAGAAGGAAAAAAAAAGAAAGGGAAAAGTTAAGAAGAAGAGGAGCATGAAAAAAAAGGAAAAGAAAGAAAGTTTAGAAAGAAAGGGAAAAAAGAATACAAGTCATGAAAGAAAGAAAGAAAGAAAGAAAGAAAGAAAGAAAGAAAGAAAGAAAAAAAGAAAGGGAAAAAGAAAGAAGAAGAGGAGCATGAAAAACAAGACAAGAAGGTTTAGATTTTCAGGGACAAAGGAATGGAAATCTTAAAGAAAGAAAGAAAGAAAGAAAGAAAAATGAAAGAAAGAAAGAAAGAAAGAAAGAAAAGAAACTGAAAAGTAAGAAGAAAATGAGCATGAAAAAAACATGGCAAGAAGCGTTTAGATTTTCAGGGAAAAAAATAGAAATCTTAAAAAAAGAAAGAAAGAAAGAAAGAAAGAAAGAAAAGAAAGAAAGAAAGAATCGGAAAGTTAGAAGAAAATGAGCATGAAAAACATGGCAAGAAGCGTTTAGATTTAGGGACAAAAGAATAGAAATTTTAAAAGAAAGAAAGAAAAAAGAAAGAAAGAAAGAAAAAAAAAAGAAAGAAAGAAAAGAAAGGAAAAGTAAAAAGAAGAGGAGCATGAAAAACAAGGCAAGAAGCGTTTAGATTTTTTAGGACAAAAAAGGAATGGAAAATCTTAAAAAGAACGAAAGAAAGAAAGAAAGAAGAAAAGAAAGAAAGAAAAAAGAAAGTAAGAAAGAAAGGGAAAAGTAAGAAGAAAGGAGCATGAAAACAAGGCAAGAAACGTTTAGATTTTCAGGGACAAAAAGGAATGGAAATCTTAAAAGAAAGAAAGAAAGAAAGAAAGAAAGAAAGAAAGAAAGAAAGAAAGAAACTGAAAAGTAAGACGAAAATGAGCATGAAAAACATGGCAAGAAGCGTTTAGATTTTCAGGGACAAAAGGAATAGAATTTTGAAAGAAAGAAAGAAAGAAAGAAAGAAAGAAAGAAAGAAAGAAAAGAAAGGAAAAGTAAGAAGAAGAGGAGCATGAAAAACAAGGCCAGAAGCGTTTAGATTTTCAGGGACAAAAGGAATGGAAATCTTAAAAGAAAGAAAGAAAGAAAGAAAGAAAGAAAGAAAGAAAGAAAAGAAAACTGAAAAAGTAAGACGAAAATGAGCATGAAAAACATGGCAAGAAGCGTTTAGATTTTCAGGGACAAAAGGAATTGAAGTCTTGAAAGAAAGAAAGAAAGAAAGAAAGAAAGAAAGAAAGAATGAAAGAAAGAAAGAAAGAAACTGAAAAGTAAAAAGAAAATGAGCATGAAAAACAAGGCAAGAAGCGTTTAGATTTTCAGGGACAAACGGAATGAAAATCTTAAAAGAAAGAAAGAAAGAAAGAAAGAAAGAAAGAAAGAAAGAAAGAAAGAAAAAAAAAAGAAAGAATGAATGAAAGAAACAGAAAAGTAAAAAGAAAATGAGCATGAAAAACATGGCAAGAAGCGTTTAGATTTTCAGGGACAAAAGGAATAGAAGTCTTGAAAGAAAGAAAGAAAGAAAGAAAGAAAGAAAGAAAGAAAGAAACTGAAAAGTAAGAAGAAAATGAGCATGAATAACATGGCAAGAAGCGTTTAGATTTTCAGGGACAAAAGGAATGGAAATCTTAAAAGAAAGAAAGTAAGAAAGAAAGAAAGAAAGAAAGAATGAATGAAAGAAACTGAAAAGTAAAAAGAAAATGAGCATGAAAAACATGGCAAGAAGCGTTTAGATTTTCAGGGACAAAAGGAATAGAAGTCTTAAAAGAAAGAAAGAAAAAAGAAAGAAAGAAAGAAAGAAAGAAAGAAAGAAAGAATCGGAAAAGTAAGAAGAAAATGAGCATGAATAATATGGTAAGAAGCGTTTAGATTTTCAGGGACAAAAAGAATAGAAATCTTAAAAGAAAGAAAGAAAGAAAGAAAGAAAGAAAGAAAGAAAGAAAGAATCGGAAAAGTAAGAAGAAAATGAGCATGAAAAACATGGCAAGAAGCGTTTAGATTTTCAGGGACAAAAATAATAGAAATCTTAAAAGAAAGAAAGAAAGAAAGAAAGAAAGAAAGAAAGAAAGAAAGAAAGAAAGAAAGCGAAAGTGAGAAAAAGAGGAGCGTGAAAAACATGGCAAGAAGCGTTTAGATTTTCAGGGACAAAAATAATAGAAATCTTAAAAGAAAGAAAGAAAGAAAGAAAGAAATAAAGAATGAAAGAAAGAAAGAAAGAAATTAAGGGAAAAGTACGAAGAAGAGGATCGTGAAAAACATGGCAAGAAGCGTTTAGATTTTCAGGGACAAAATGAATATGAATTTTAAAAGAAAGAAACAAACAAACAAACAAACAAACAAAGGAAAGTGAGAAGAAGAGGAGCGTGAAAAACATGACGGGAAGTGTTTACGTTTTCAGAGATTAAAAGAATAGAAACCTTAAAAGAAAGAAAGAAAGAAAGAAAGAAAGAAAGAAAGAAAGAAAGAAGAATTAAAATAAAATGAATAATCAAAAAGAAAGATGCAAACAAAAGTAAAAAGAGAAAAAGACAAAAGGCGTTGGTGAAAAGAATGAGTAAGGCTTAGTGTATCAGTAAATTTGACGGACAACAGTATATGAAAAAGAAGCAGAAACGAGAATAAAACTGATTTTTCTTTTATAATAATTGAATGAACAATAGTACAAAGTTCTGTTTAAAAAGTCAAGGTCAGAAAAAACAGAATTGAATGAAAATAAAAACAAACGTGAAGACATTAATTCAATAAGAATAAAATAAAGAAAAAGTGGAAGAAATTGTGGGAAAAATAATTTGAGTCAATCAAGTGCCACACGCTTAAGTGATAGATGAAGACCTTTCCTGCAGTGGGTTGCTATTTCTTTCTGCGGTAGACTGGTTGCCAACCAAGGTTTTAAAAAAGTCTGTCCTTCTATTTAACCCAGAGCTGGAGGGAAAAGAGATGTACTCATACCCTTCCCAAAGATATTTGTGCGCAAGTGAATATAACAAACTCGAGTGGAATTCGAACTCAGTTCTCCAATTTCTCATACCGAAACGCTTACCGTCACACCACAATGCGGATGTGCGCTATGGTCTAATGGTCATTAAGGTGAGAGAAGGAGAAAAAGAAGCTGGGAAATAAGGAAATAGAGAGAAAAATGTAAAAAGAAAGAAAAACGAAGGAGAGAAGAACAAGAAGAAAAATATGGGGTGAAATGGGAAACAAAAAACAAAAAAACGCAAGCAATATAGAAGAAAATTAAAAGAAAAAAAGAAGAGAAGCAAAAGAAAGCGATAAAGAAAGAATAAACTTATTAACTATGGACAAATTAACACTTTGAGACGTGACCACTGCTTTAAGGTTGTTAGAGAAAAATAATTTAATGTCCAGTCGCCGGTTGAACGGTAGGTAAACACTTGCGTCGTGATTTGCTTATTCTTGTGCAACACCTGATGGGTAGACTGGTACACAAAGAAAGAATTCTGGCGCTAAAGTGAAGGCATGCAATCATACTCTCTCCCTGCTAAATATAATGCTTATATTTTTTGTAAATATTTTTATATCTACCATGAAACATTACATACCAAATACTTGCGAATTTTGACAGAAGTGTTCAAATTGTTCCGTAACGCAGGGCTCAAAAGGTTAAACAACACTTCACAGCTTGGTGAGTTCTAAACTATCGGATACCAGTGGATACTACCTCAGGATAACACTTTGATAACGGGTCAGTGTATCAGATTTTGCAAACCGTGTTGCCTTTTGAAGAATTCAATCGTCGAATGTTTCCTTCGACTTATAAACGATTTCTACAAACTCTCTACAAGGCAGCGATGAATAAGTGTTTAACATTTCTTTAATTTTATTTTGTAAGAAAATCCGCTTGTTGTGAATATCTATACCTGGTGACCTTTCATCTCCAACTTTTTACATAACTTTATTTGCGTATAAACATCTATCACTGGAAAATAATTAACCAACGCTTTTTCTACCAGATACTGTGCTAGCTGGTCAAAAACTTTGCATCTATTCTGTTTCTTTAATGGTACATCAACATCCTTATGAGTCATTTAATGCTGAAATTTTATTTTCTTGGGTGGTTTAGTTTTGTTTTAAGTATCGGAATACTGGTTGTGTATAAATACCAGATTCGTGAAATTTCTTTTTCCAGGTCCTTTTCTTTTGAAAGTTTCCAAATTCTGTAGCTGAGATACTTTTATCAGGCAACCTCAATATGTCTAAGAAACTTATGCTCTTCAAAACTCCTGTTAATTCCCATTCACAACTTCTCCGCTGCCTCAATCGGGTATTGAACTCACACTCTTTGGGTCCTGCCAGTGGATATAACCAACGCCTTTATCAAGTGTGCCATGTCTCCTCAAGCATATTGGATAACGATAACTGATAACTGCACGTGGAACTAGAACAGTTTACCCCAGTGAGCGAAATAAAGGGTTCAGTTCGATATTCCAACCACCTGAAGAAGGCTGGAGCGTACAACGGCCGAAACGTTGTAATAAATATGGCGACAACGACGAGGACAATAGTCTGAATAATGTAAATAGTTTACTTTTTTTAACTTTATTAGTTTAAGACATAATTAATTTTCGTTTCGATGCTAATTTTAAATAATAAACTTGATAAACCAAAACAAATATTATTTATGACTCAACGTAATATTAATCGCTCTTAATCGCCTAAAACATTATTTTCTAATTTCAGTTCTTCTATTTTTGCATGTTAGATTCATGGTCCAAAATTAAGATGTTTATTGACTCCTTAATCTGGTTCGCGAATCTTATATTCTTTATCAAATGCTATATCTGTTATTCTTAACAGTTTATCCCCCTATTGAAACTCGTCTTAGTATATTTTTCTACAGTAAACTTTATGGCAATAGCATCATGAAACATTCTATTGTTCTTAAAAGACCCTCTCGTTCATTATCACTTTTCGAAAACAGTTTCTTGTCCATATAGAATAAGTGATTTGGGAATCTATTAGACAACGTATATCTAGACATTGTGTTATTTATTTCCTTTGATCGAGATATTAATGCAATACATAATACAAAAGAAAAGAACCCCATTCAATTGATTTGTATAATAAAAGGGGGGACTGATATTTTATTGTAATTGTTATGAATGAAATGCTTTTTTCCTAACTAACAGCCTATATAACGGGTATAGGCATTTAATAAAGGGATATTTAGAATAAGGATGTTCCATGTGAATTTTTCTCCCCAAAAGAGTAAACGTCACAGTTCGTCTATTTGAAACGATAAGGTACTTCTTTATTTTTTTTTTTTTTTGGCGGGGGTGTATTCGTTTTTCGAATCTGTTTGCTGCTCTTTCATCTTGCTCTAGCTCATTTTCGAGATAAAATTCTATGGTGATATCATCACTTTGTTATTGTCGTTAAAAAACTTTCATATTTATTATCACTTTTCAAAAACAGTTGTAAGTCGTCTATGTAGAATAATTGATTAATGAATCTATCATATATTTGATAATCATAAAGTGTATTATTGATTTCATTTGATGGGAAGATTAAAGCAACAGTGAAGAGGCGAAATAAAATCAACTGAAAATATTCTTTAATTGATCCGAAAGTTTTCACATTTAATTTCACCATTAAGGTAGCCTTGGTTTAAAGTAATTTTCCATTTTTTTGTATCGGATTTTACAAAATTATGAAAATATTTATTGAAAACAGTTTCAACAAAGAAAGTATAAACAAAAATGTTTTTTTTGTTTGTTTTTTGCTATTCTCTTCCAGCGACAATGATGGAGAAAGAATTACCACGAACCATCGCGAGACACGACGCAAAGAGCCACTCTGTTTCGCGAGGCTCATCCCTTAATCGAGACGTAATCGCTCCAATCATCCGAAGGAACGCCATCGAATGAGGAACAATAAACCCAGAAGTCTCCACTACCACAGGAGTAAAAAAAAATCTATCAGTAAGAGAAGAATATTTAACTATTTTTTTTCATCTCTGAGTCCCGACCGCAGGACCCCGGCTCAACCGCGACCCTGATCAAATTACCGGTCATTTTGCTGGGAATTTGTGTAACAGCAACTACTGTGTAACATCACCAGCACCCTCCCCAAAAATGCAGTGACTTGTAAAGTCTCAGTTCTTCCTCAAATTTCCTACTTATCGAATCTTGATTCCACTTTTTTGGTAAATTTTGATTTGCACCCATTATTATGCCAACGATTCTAACATTCATGTTTGCCACTTTTCTCCTCTCCCGAGCAACGTACCGTCATTTTTGTTACTTCTTACAATCCTCCACTTTTTTTTTTGTCTATCAATCACATCCACCATCCGAAATGTTCCTTTTTATTTGCGATTATTAACTCTGATCAATTTACTTGGTATGGGTGATCAGCCTGGATGTAAAAAAAAAGCCCAAATTATTTTGAATTTTGTTTTCCATAACAGACTCTAGTTCCTGTTGATAA